AGGAGGAGAGAGAGAGAGAGAGAGAGAGAGAGAGAGAGAGAGAGAGAGAGAGAGAGAGGGAGGGAGCGGTGGGGTGGGGGGGCGGCGGGCGGAGGAGCGAAGAGGTAGAGACAAGGGGCAGGGGAAAGAGCAGGAGCAGGAGGGAGTTACAAGGTCACAGGAGTGCAATGCTCTCTATGGGGAAGAGATTAAGGGCATCATCACGCGAGGGAGGGGCATCAAAGTTCACAGGTAAGGACGAGGATGAGGACGAGGACAAGCAACCCCAGCTGACGGTCAGCAGGTCCTCGTGCGAGCTGCTGCTCGAGAGCGACGTGCAGAGGCACATCGACGTGTCGTGGGATCAGGAGGCTCAGCCGACGCAGCGACCGGTGGAGATCGAGGTGAGGGGGAGAGGAAGAAGAGGGGAGAGTAGAGGAGAGGAGGGGTGAGGGGGAGGGAGGGGGATGCAGCAGGGAGGAGGAGGAGGAGGAGGAGGAGGAGGAGGGCTTGTTGACGTGCCTTGTGGCAGGTGGAGTGCGAGGACTCGCCTGGGATGTTGGCGTCGATGTCTCGAGCGATCTCTCATGCCTCAGTCAATATCGCCAGCGTCGTTCTGAAGAAGCTGCCAGCAGGTACAAGAAGTTCAAGAGAGGAGGGAGATGGAGCAAGAGGCGGAGGGAGGAGCAGGAGCAGGAGCAGGAGCAGGAGAGATTTGAGGGTCGTGTTGCTTGCAGGTTATGGTGTCGCAAGGTTTGAAGTCATGGTCGCTACCCAGAAGGTGAGAAATCTCCTCTTTTCATCATCATCATCATCATCATCATCATCATCAACAACAACAACAACAACAATAACAACAACAACAACAACAACAACAACAACAACTGTCTAGTTCTGACTGCTCGTCACCAGGACCTCGATCGCGTCTTCACGAAGCTGCAGGGCACGAAGGTGTGAAGAGGAGGAGGAGGGAAGGAAGAGGGGAGGGGAGGGGAGGGATGAGGAGGGGAGGGGAGGGAAGTTGACGGGTTGGCAGGGGGTGTTGCATGTTGCAAGAAGTGGAGCGAACGCGAGGAAGAGCAAAAGAAGAAGACTGCGAAGGTGAGAGAGAGAAGGAGAGGAGGAGGAGGGAAAGGAAGAGTGGGAGCGAGCAAGCAAGCGAGCGAGCAAGCGAGCGAGGGGGTTCACTGACGCTTCTGGAGCAGCTCGATTGTTCCTCCGAACCTTATGAGCGACGAGTAGGAGAGAGGGAGGGAGAGGCTGGAGGAAGGAAAAGAGCGAGGAGGGGCTGAGGAGCTTGAAGGAGAGGAGGAGTGGGGGGGGGAGGGGGGGAAGGTAATTTAAGTTTTAA